CGAGAGAAGGCCTTGCAGGAGGAACCACGACGGTAAAACGCGTCCCGCCACCCGGCGACGAGAGCGGAATGGCCGGCAACGGAGCCGCGGAAGGAGCCGGAGCTGGAGACGCGGAAGAACTCCGTACTGAAGGAGCGGTAGAACTCGGTACCGGGGCTTCCAAAGAACTCGACACCGGAGTTTCAGAAGAGGTCGACACGGGAGCCTCGGAAGAACTCGCACCCGCCTCCGATTACTTCAAAAAGATCAATACTAAAGGTCAAGACAAAGAAGGGAAATTCAATGCAACAGGAATATGAAAAGCAACTCACCGCCGCGTGATGAGGGGTACTTCATCATCTTCTTCGTCCTCAGCCAAGGAAACCAGAGCACCTGCTGAAAAAAGGATAAAAAGTAATCGAATCATGATAGAGACAAGAAAATAAAAGAACAAAGAGCATTAAATGAGCTCACCTAAGAGCATGCTAGCAACAACTGGAGTACCTGAAAAAGTACTTGGTTTGCGAGGCTTCTTGAGACAAAGGTGCGGGCGATGAAGACCCATCCGTTCGCCCTCTTCGGGACACACTGCGAGGATCGCGAGGGACTAGACGAGGAACATATTCTTCATATACATCAACAAATCCGGAAGAAACCCGGTGAAGAGCGGTAGAGGTTTGGGACTTACTAATTACGAAGTCCCAAAGAAGTCTATCTCCGATCTCGCCACGGCAGCGGAAAGCGTCGGAGAGGCCAAGGTCGACAAAGTTCCGCCCAAACTCCTGCGAAAACGGATAAAACACCGAGACAAAGAAAAGCTAAGCAAGAACAAACGCAGCTAGAGTGCATAAAGTACTCAAACAAAAAGATAGACAACTCACAGCTGGGGGTGGGTTGTTGGCTGAGAACTCGATGACAGCAGGGGGAATAACGCTCACCCCTTTCAGCATCTTCTGAAGATGCTCGAGTACCTCCTCACCGGTCAGCTCAAGAGCTGGGACCATGCGTGAAGGATCCTCGGCCCCAGAATACTCAAAGCCGAGATGCTCCCGCTCTTTCAAGGGCTGAACCCGGCGACGAAGAAAGCTCGAGACGATACCAAAGCCGGTCAAACCCTGCTGCTTCAGCATGTTAATCCTATCAAGGAGTGGCTAGATCACTTGAATCTCAGCAGGCGATTCAAGTTTCTTGTCCCATCGGTCATTCACCACAGGACCAGATCCGGGATGAATGGCAAGGGAAGGGATTAAATTGCAAGCGTAAAACCACTCGACGCGCCAATCTTTTACGAGAATCGACCAGGTCATAGTCAAAAACTTAATTTTGAGACCACAAGCGAATCCGAATCCCATTATTAACCGCCAAGAACGCTGGTTTCTTCACGGCGGGGTTGAGGTTTCGAACGAAAGAAAAAGCGAAAAAGAGACAGAGAAGGAGGGATTCAAGGAAAGCTTCGCAAAGATGAACAAAATGTAAAGATGAAGAATGGCATTGGAGGTTAGGTGGTTCGAGACTAATCCCGAAATAACCAAAGAACTGATGAAGGAAAGCGAAGCGAAGGCAAAAAAGTCCGGTAGCGGACAAAAGAAACGAAAAGGACAATCTCACCAGACCCGGTCGAACCCGATGTTCGCTGGAACCCTCCATTCAGCGATGACTTTGCTTTGGATCAAGCCATCGCTAACGAGCTCATGCAGCACTGGTCTTCATTTGTTGTTGGGGCCGGCCAAACCTTCCGAAAGCAGCCCTCATAGCCACAAACTCCTGATTTTGGATCAAAGAAAGGGATGTTTCCTCGTCTACGAAGGCCGCCTGAGACTTGCTTGCGGTTTTCTTCTTTCCCATGAACTGGTGGAAGCAAGAGAGGCGCTAAAGAAGATGTAGGATGATGATGCTCGGGTTACGGCGACGGTGGTGGCGGCGGATTTCTGAAAGCTAGGGTTTAAAGGCAAGAGTTGGGCAGCAAAGGGTCTTTAAATAGGTTTCTCAGCAATACAAACGGCCCACAAGGCCCGATAAAACACAATGTGGGAACACGACGGTCCATTTACCGACGCGGCTAAAACAATGGAGGGCATAAATCCACGCAACAGTACAAACCAATGGGCAGATTTCAGACTTATCCGTCCAGCACCACGGCAGGGTTATCAGATCGCTACAAGAACGACTCGTCAAAACAAGAAGAAAGAAAAGGCTACCTCACAAGGAACAAAAGAACCCGATTATTTGAGAAAGAACCCGGTAATCTCATGGACAACGGGGATCGCAACAGAAAAGTAAAAGACAACTCAGAAGACAAGATTCGTTACATTACAAGCAGAAGATTACAAATCTTAAAGACAAGATTCGTTACATTACAAGCGACTTCAAAAATAGAAGATTACAAATCTTACAAGACCCAACGAACTCGGCACTACGAAAAGCAAGGTAGCAAAGAGGAACGCGGACACGGCTAGGCTCTGGAACGACTACGTGTCCCAAATTGCTACTCGGAAGGACAAACCGCCATCAGCTACACTGTTTTCTTCAAAGGAAGGACGCAGTGCACTCAAGGCGGAAATCGGCAGCACGGCAGGACAACTTGGAGCAGAGAAGGCCGGCGGGCATCTGTCTACCCAAGACCGATGTGATACTGCATATGGTGTTGATCTGCACCGGACAGTCTCAAGACAGGCGACGAGGATCAACCCAGAACTGCCAGATGAAGAAACGAAGCCCATATCACAAGACTTCCTCCAGCTACGACAAGACACACAGGAACTACAAAATATGCCCGGGGGCTGCTCTACTTCACAAACTACCATGCTCATATCCACGAAGGTTTCAACGGAATATCCAATAGATGAAAACAAGCACTCCGGGACAGTATTTATAGACCAAAGGAGCGGCGCACATGGACCAGGAGCACCGACGAAATAAGCCTGACAAAGAACACAGTGAAAGGACAGGACTTAATAATGTACGACTCAGGCGAGAGGAAAACAGTGCCCGAAGACGGGCATATTCGGAAAGATATACCATCACAGTATAACCCGTGAACAAAAAGCATTTACACTCAAATACCACCATACAACTACATCTGACAGCAGCAGACTATCAAAGAATACGCCAAGACCTCGCATCCGAGTTCTTCCTGAATAAAACAACACGGGTATACGCTCGGGGGCTCGGCCAGCATCACAGATTAATCAACACTAAGCCAGGGAATCCGGCACTCATTTCAACTACTCCCGAGGGCTCAGAACCAAAGACAAAAGACAAAAAGTACAAGAAACTCAAGACTACAACGACGACAACGCATCAAGACTCTTCAACCGACTTCTTTTTCAAAAGAAAAGAACTCGGAGAAAGCACGAGGCTGCGGGATACATAGCCCCAGAATTTTTTTAAGACAGGAATCGGGACCCTCCAACTTTTGTAAGCAAAAGCAAGAGGCTCGGGGGCTACACTCAGTGAGTGCAATTTTTATGAAAAATTGCACCCACCCAAAAAGAACCCGGACATAGGCTCGGAGGCTGCACACCACGAAACTACTCGGATGATGGTTTAATCCAAGACTAAAGGACCGCTTCGGAAAGATACCACAGAAACTACTCGGATGATGGTTTAATCCAGGACTAAAGGACCGCTTCGGAAAGATACCACAAAAACTACTCGGATGAGGACAAAATTCAAATCTCAGGGATTACTTCAGAGCACAGATTTTCAAACAAACATAAAGGATCAAGACCCTCCAACTTTTTGTTCCAAATAGCAAGAGGCTCGGGGGCTACACTCAGTGAGTGCACTTTTTCTCCGAAAAAGCGCATGTCACCAAAAGACTTCCTCAACGCAGACTACTTCAAGACATTATGACAAAAAGAACCCAGAACGAGCCATATTCGAGTTCTTTTTGACAAAACTTCAACGAACAATCAGAGCAACTTCAAGACAAGATCCTCCAGCTCCTTGTTCCAAATAGCAAGAGGCTCGGGGGCTACAACCAGATGGATGTACTTTTTCTTCACAAAACACTCACCACTCGAAGGTCCCAAGAAGCGCTACAAGGTTTCACTCCAGAAAGCACTCGGATAACATTTTGTTCCTACCTAACAAGACTTGAAGGAGCAAAGCGAGACTTTCGAGCTCAACCATGAAGTGCTCGGGGCTTGTCGATCTGGGACCCACAGGATACCCATAAGAGAGAAGATCTAGTTCAACTAGGATTCTTCCCATGTAATCTTAGTAATAGAACTATTAAGTAATCCTACTAGGAAATCTCATTGTAAACCGATTAGGACTCTGGCCTCCTGACTGTATAAAGGAGGGCAGGGCTCCTGAACTAGGACAATTGTACAACATAACACTTCATAATCAATCCAACGCAAAAGGCAAACACCGACTGGACGTAGGGTCGTTACTCGATCTACGATCGAGGGCCTGAACCAGGATAAATCGACTGTCTCTTGCGTTCACCATCGAGTTCAGCATACGCCGAAGCCCGAACGATACTGCCACGGTACCCCTGTGGTAGGCTATCGGTGGTAAAACATCGAGAGATCTACCTCTAGAGATAGAGGTTTGCACTTAGCACTTGAGCTGGCAGTGGGTTCCGGCTGCTGCTGTGCGGCCACTGAATCGATGATGATGCTGGGTTTTTTATTCTCTGATGAGATGAGAAGGAGAAGGAGACGAGGCGCAGTGCGCACAACGGGGCGTCGCCGTGCATGCCTTAGATAGTTAGATGCCTCCATGTGTCGCGCCGGGGGCCGGGGCCAGGCCGCCGGGCAGGTGCGGTGAACATGGGATCCACGTGCTCCCGCTCCCGCCCCGCCCCTGGGAATACGGCGAGCCCGATCTCATCTGCTGCTTAACTTGATGAAATCCCGTAGCCGTTAACACGTTGTGAGCAGCCTAATCCTAATCCAAATCCGCCGCGACGGACATCTCTCTGAGCATGACCACAGTTGGTTGTCAGTGGACCTGGACGTGGCATCAATATCATATTGCGGTTCCTGCGATCAGCTGGCCGCGGATCAAACTCAATCGCCACGCCACTCGTGAACATGATACATACTGGTACCTGAGACTGAGATCACCCCCATGGCACCACCGGAGTGAACCTCAGTCTCGGGCCGTCGGAGGTGCCGTGGCTGTGGCTTCGATCCTGCCGTTGAAAATGTCGCGGCGTCTTTTTGGATGCGTGTTTCTTTAATCTGTTCTCCCGGCCCGTATCTTCCTTTTTCCTCGTCAGCCTCACATGCACTTGTTCGCTCATGGCCTAACCTTTTTCTCCTTTCACCTTTTTTTCAAATTCGTTCGCGATCCCTAAATTTGTCACGGTAGAGTACCACACAAAGGAAAACGAAATAATACTACTGAATAAACTACTACCACGTCGGAGCACATCTGCTGACTGACGGCAGAGGCTACCTTTTGGCATCGCTGAGTGCTGACGGACGATCCATCGTCGACCGATCAAGCATTATTACCTGTCTTGTTGTAGAGGTAGAGGTACCAGGTCTGCCCGTCGGCGGAGGTCTTGACGTGGTCCTCGACGCCCGTGATCTCGAAGTTGTCGCCGAACGACGCCGCCGCCGCGGACGCGCCGTGGCAGCAGGACGATAGCACCACCGCGACGGCGGCGGCCGCGAGAGGAAGAAGAAGCGCGCCCGCCCACGGCGGCCTCGTCATCGGTCTGTCGCGGGCCGGACGGAGGAGACGGCGGATCGAGCTGGCCACCGATCAGAGAGGCAGAGGAGAGGAGAGGGGAGAGTGATCGAGTAGTGAAGCTGTGTGGGTTGCTGGCTGGCACCGGCAGAATGCTGCCTTCGGGGTCGGGGCAAAGCACGAGGCGGTCTTGCGTCTTATCTATCGGAGAATCAGACGGGCAGGAGCGCGCCATGGCCCGTGCTTCCGCGCCCGCGCCGGCTCTGCCCTCCACGCCAGCTCTCTCCTCCACACCCGGCGCCCCTACGCTTCGGCGTCCGGAGCTCCGGGCACTACGCGCGCTGCGCGGCCATGCGCCGCCTCCGAGCACTGCCGTTGCGGCCGCATCCTTGTGCGTCTCCGCCAGCCATCCTTGCGCCGCATCTGCCTCGACGCCGGACGAGCTCCACGCCGCCGTCATGCACCCCGCAACGCCCCTACGCCGCCGTCGCCCGCGCCGACGCGCCTCGGGGGCAAATCAGGCCACCGGCCGGTTCTGGACCCACTCTCTGTCGCGGAGCCAGAGGAAGCTACATTTTCTTTTGGCTCCTGCTCTCTCTCCTCGCCTCCCTCAACGGTTTCCCCGCGGCTCCGAACGCGGAGCGAAGCCATTATCTACTATTTGGCTGGTGGAGCAGCGAAACTGCTCGTGGAGCTGTCCAGCAGCCATACCAAATGGCCCCTTAGGAGTACCTACATGTAGCAGCTAGCTAGGCGGCCCGACCATCTTTCCCTCGAGTGGGCTACAAGGCTGACCACAGCAACTTTTGTTCTAATGTTTACTAGTGGAATATTGCGAGCACCGGAGGGGGAGGAGCCTCAGATCCCGTGCGCATATCACGTCAGGCAAAATGAGTCCATGATGACACCCATGGCCATGGTCCATTGGTCTGCTCCCTCAGCTCGATCGAGCATAGGTCGCGCTGGATTCTGAAATCTGAAGCCCAGCAGCAGCCGGGCAGGAGAGCAGGGGCAGCAGGGGAGAGTAAGGCCCGGTTTAATTTCCATTTTTTTCCTCTTACAGTAAAAGAGCATGCTTGACACATGCATGGAGTACTAAATGTAAAAAAAAAAACTAATTGCACAGTTCTCGGTAAAATCGCGAGACAGGATCTTTTAACCCTAATTAGTCCATGAAAAGCCTTAAGTGCTACAGTAACCCACATGTGCTAATGACCGATTAATTAGACCTCGTTTGGTAGGGCTTCTCCACCGGCTTCAGGAGCCGTTTTCTACCAAACGGGTTTAAGTGAAATAGCTTCACTGGTGAAGCCCCTAAAAACATGCTCTCACAGTGATTTGGGGTGGGATGGAGCCAAAAAAAAGTGGCTTCTCCCAGCTCCTCCTCTAGGCCTCTAAAAACATGCTCTCACAGGGAAGTCATTTTACCAAATGGTTTACCAAAACCGCTTCAGCTCCACTGGTGGAGCTGAAGCCAAAAAAATAGTTTCACTAATGAAGTGAAACTCTGCCAAACGGAGCCTTAGTATCATTAGATTCGTCTCGCAGTTTTCTAATGGGTCCTGTAATTTATTTTTTTATTAATATCAAAAACCCCTCACAGCATATCCAATATGACATCCAAAATTTTTACCTCCCCAACTAAACACAACCTGATACAAGTGTTTATGGCCATTGGCCACGCAGCAGCCAACCACCTCGCGTCTGGGTTTGCTGCGGCGATCGCAGTGGCAGCTCGCAGGAAAAGGGCGGAAACGGACGATCGAGCCTCGTTCGCGGCAGCCTGCAGCAGACTTGAATGCCTCCACTGGCCCTGGCCGGCGTGGTGACGCAGCGAGCGCCGAGCAGCGCTGCTGAGTGCTGACGACAGGAAGATGGGAGAGAGCCACCCGCTGGAGCAGGTGAAGGCCCGTGGCGTGGCCCCGGTGAACCGACCGGCCGACCACGGCACGGACTGGAGGAGGTTTGACTCGGGTCCAGTTGGCATTCGGTTTTTTGTTTTTCAAAAACGCGCCAAAAGTCGTTAGCTAGACAGATTTCACATGCTGCGGCCTGCGTTAGGATGAGTAGCGCGCAATTCGTGGTGGCCATGGCCAATGCACAATCCCCTGCCCTGCTGCACGAGAGAAGGCTAATAATACAGCCGGCTTCGTTGGCTGCATGTTCTTAGATTAAGCCGAAAGTTATACATCAAACATCATTCTTTTAGCTTATCCATACAAGATCTACAATCCTTATAACGAGAACAAATGTGTAGTCAAATTTCATTGTTAATATATGATTCACTTATCTTTCTTATAGAGTTTCTGTTCTCGTGTCCAAACCGGCTATAAGCTTGAGAGATGATCATTTCTCCTCTCTTCATTTAGTGTCTCATTTAGCTAACTTGACCAAGTCGATCTGTTATTATACTTACTATTATGAACTCTAAATTCGCTAGTCAAAGGTTGTAAACGTACAATTCTTGTTTTGAACTTTCCATTTGAGATAGTTTGACGGTTCAAATTTGTGATTTTTAAATTTCGATGCTTACTGTGCAAATAGTGTGGTGCGTAAAATTAATGAACAGTTAGCAGGGCTGGATCCACACCCACATCCACTACACTAACGTCACTACACATCTGTTGGCCTGTTTGCGTTGGGGGTCCATTGATTCTATTGTTGAGCTTTTTTTGAATTCTTTCAAACGAAAAAGTTGTCTTCTTCCTAGGTCTTTCTCCATCCAACGTAGATTAAGTTTTTTCAATATCCGGATTTCTTTATCATCCGATCAATTTTGATATTACATATTGATATCCGCCTGGAGTATTAAATGTAGATAAAAAAAATAAATAATTACATAGTTTGATTGTAAATTACGAGACGAATCTTTTAAACCTAGTTAGGCCATGATTGGACAATAATTGTCAAATACAAACGAAAATGCTACAGTACCAAATACTGATTTCTAACACCCATCTAAATAAGGCCCGAGTAGTTTTAGGGGTGTGAATGCAGGGACTAAAATTTCATAGACCCTACGTCCAAACACCCCTGCCTTTTTTATTGTCCTGAGTGGCACTGGCGGAGACTCGTGGAGGGCAATACCGGGCGTCAGGCCCCCCCTGGTCTGAAAAGTTTCTGAACACCATGTTTGGTAGCTGCTGATCTAGCCAGTTGCAATGCTCGCAATTACCGAGGAGTGCTAGGCTCCTAGTAGGCCTTCCTTCAACCATCTATGCAGGGTGCTCTTCTTTGCACCAATAGCATTAGCTAGAGATCGTATAATCCTCCTTCTATGCAAGGGAACTCTAAGAACATGTGATAAATCAATTTGGATCCTTTTGCGGCCATAATTCTTCCTCCGTGATATAACATCTACCGGTCTGCCCTCTGCACGGCATTGCTTAGCTCTTCGCCAAACAGCACGCACTTGATACCTACTGACATGAAACATGTGAGCTACTATATTCGTTGTGTTCTTTTTTAATTTTCCACGAGCAATGCTTCATATATTTGTTGCCTTTCAGTGTCCGTAAAATTTCTGCACTTATGTGAATTATTTGTGTTTGTATGTTCATCTTGTTCAACATCTGAGTCCTCCAACTCCTCTTCGTCGAAGACTATGTCCACAGCATCAACGTAGACGCCATAGTCGTCCATGTCCTCGATCATGTCTTCAAAAAATGTGAGATAACAGTAGCAAAAAAAGTGTGAGATAGCAGTAGCAAAATGTTGTAAGATTTCTCTCAGAATGCATTGTGTTTCTCATTTTCTGAAACTGTGTTTACCTAGGAAGCTAGTAGTGGCGTAATAATTTGTCAATCAGCTAGCAGAATGATATACATGCTTGCAATTAATCATGCTGAACACAAAAACTATGTAAACCTAGTGAGCTGATGTACTCAATGAAATAGTACGAAAAAAATTCAAGTTCCATTGACGCTTACTGATCATTTGTTGTAGCTCATGTTGGTGATCAGCAGCTTCTAAGTTGAGCTCAAAATCATCTTGTTACTAAATTGCTTGAAATAGTATACTAGTAGGAAAGTTATTCTTGTTGAGGCCAAATATTCTGTCTCATTTTTTAAAACTGAGTTTATGAAGGCAGCTAGTAGTGGCCAGATGATTTTGCACTCAGCTAGCAGAATGATACGCATGATTGTGCTCTTATCTTGCAATTAATTATGCTTAACACAAAAACTCTGGTTATTTAGAAATACTTTGTCAACCTAGTTAGTCGATGTGGTCATTGAAATAGTAAGAAAAAATATCCAAGTTCCATTGAGGCTTACCGATCATTTGTTGCAGCTCATGTTGGTGGTCAGCAGCTTCTAAATTGAGGTCGAAATTATCTTGTTCATGTGGAGCATCAAAGTTGATATCTCCATCTTATTGATGGGCTTCCTCAACAGCAAGAACTGCAAAAGGGTGGGGCATAGAATTTCATTGAAGGCTGAAAGGTGTGTTTACACAATACAATTACTTTCTTTTAGTAATAAAATTGAGAGAAATGTTACCTTCATGAGATTCTTCTTCTTGTTCCTCGGAAGCAGCAATATTGAGATCTATGGCATGCACAGCACCATCTTGCTCTTTGTCGATATAGTGGGACTGACCTTTTAGTGGATGCACTTGTGCTTCTTTGATGAGATGAAATTGATCTTCCCGGAGGTGTTGGATTTCATCTCCTCCATCATCAACAGGCTCTTGATTTAGAGCTGGTAAGGGCTCTTCGCTTCCTTTGCCTTGTACTAAGTTTAGATCTTGGTGGAGTCTTTATGGTGGGCAATGGCGCACAGTTCAAGGGAGTGTTCGGCTGGCTGTTTCAGCCAGCTTATTCGCTGGCTTATAAGTCATGGTACATTATTTTTCTCTTTCAAAAAATTAGTCATAGAAATCAGCACCAGGCGGCTATAAGGCTTTATAGCCGCCGAACACTCCCTATTTCGGGCTCAAGGCGCATGGTCGCCAGAATGGGACCAGAACTTTCAGCAGTATTCTTGGCCATATTCTACTCCTTGTATTGCTACTGTTGTTTTTTTGTCTGTTGTTTGTGCTGTTCAAATTGTGACCACACATTTATATTGTGCCAGTGATATTGGCTTCATTCCATTGCTGCGTTAATCAGTATTGTGCCAGTGATGTCAGCTGCACTTTTTAGGGGTAGAATTGTAATTTCCAATCTACAGTAAATTTTGCATTTGAATCCTAGACGTGCAGATAAATTTGGACGGGGAGTAGACATGAAAGTAGTACTGATACATAGTATAGTGCACCATGGCTGGAGTAGATTGAGACGTCCTCTACTTTCACATTTTTGTTAATTCCTAAATTGAGTAAGCTTTCCTAGATAGTTCTATTTTAACGTGAGGACTCGGCCATGGGCACAACTAGGATGGCTCCATTCGGCTTGTTGAATCTTTGCTGAAATTAACTGAAAAACACCGTTTCGGCTGAAATATTGTGAGAGAAAAGCACTGTTCCGAACTGAAAAAAGAAGCCGAACAAATCAAATATAGGGTAAACCGAATGAGGCCGCTAGCTGGCACCACTGAGAGCTTGCCTGTTGCCCCTACCTCGAGTTTCTTTCTCATCACATGTTGGCTCCTTAGCTGGAGCCCTCACGAGTGAGGGGCAAGATTAAATCATCGGCTAAGTTGGACGCTGAAAACAGTAAGGAAAAGAAAAGGCTGAGAGCACATGTAAGCAGAGATCCGAGTTGAGAGAGGATGCTTCTTTAGTGCACGTGCAGACTAGCGTCTCAGCGCTAGCGCGGTGTTCTTTCCCCTCAGTGACCAATGGAAACTCACCTCAGCGGACGATTTCACCACCGTTGAGAACACCCTAACATATACTTTTCTAATGTTGTCAACTTTATACAATACTAAGTAACTGCACCATGAAGGCATGTTTCATGGTGAATACTATTATCTTTACATAGTTAAAATCTTTGAATAGTAGGTTTGAAGTTGTTAGTTGATTCTAAAATATTATTCTAGAATCCAGATGTTTAGATCTCATTCTCATTTTTCTATCTCATTCCTGTTTTTTTAGAGATCCAAACACGGTCTAGATTAACTTGCGATGTCATAGATGTTGACATTTTCTATAACGTTAATAATGTAATCTAATAAAGAGCATCAAAGATTAGAGTACTAAATATGTTTTGTTTAGGACAAAACTATGTTTTGGAGTGCAATCTCTTTGGAATGCCGGGACTGCATCTTCTTTTTCCTTGGAAGTTGGAACAACGGATTTTCACCTTAATACCTCATCTTTACATGCGGTGCATGAGGTTAATTAGGAACTGTTAAACAAGAGACGAGCTTTTCCTTTCAACCCTTCCTGAAAGGTGTACGGTATGCTGCTTTTCATGTAGGGCCTGAACTGACACTAGTGATCCAACAATGAACGAAGAGCGATAAAAGGGGAGGCTGCTGTTTCTGCGTGTGGTGCTAGATACTGCAGAACAGTTAATCACTTTGTTCGTTTATGCTAAAATTTAGTTAATTCTTATGTTAAAATATTATGAGAAAAAAATACGGTTTCATTACTAAAAATAATGCTGAATAAGCTCTAGCTAAACTGGACGAATATTTTGAGCAAGGCGATGAGACAGAGAGTCACGTGTGCCTACAGTTCCAGTGTACTGTCTCGTCTCAGTTTGTTTTTATTTCGATGAAAAGCGAGCTATGTGCATCGGTGCACGTATGCCACCGTCACGGGAAAGGAGCGATGGAGAGCCGCCGCAGGCCGCAGCAGAATATCGGGCTAACGGTGGATGGTGGTGTTCTCCGGGCCGGACTCACTGCGGGGCGGCCCTCCTGTCCACTGTGACGGACTGTGTGGGTGCCCTCCGCGCTTCCGCCTGGGCATCCAACGTTGTCCCGGGAGGCCCATGTGCCAGAAGGCCAGAATTTAACTGGGCCGCACGTGAATACACGCATCTAGATCTACTAGGCCGTGTGTGATCATTTGGCAAAAAAGTCCACGTTACATCTCTCAGCTTTCGCCAAAGTCCGATTTTCCACTCCAAACTTTAAAACCGGGCAAAACATCTCCCTCAACTTTTAAAACCGTTCATCTTACCTCTCTGGCCCTGCTATAAGCGGCTTTGAAGGTAGTTTTGTCTTTTTCTTTTTTATTTATTTTGACTGAATCGTTCAAAAATCATAGTAAATCACAGAAAAATCATAAAAATAGAAAATCTAATTTTGTTGGACTACACATGAGTAGATCTACACAGTGAACATATAGTAAGGTATGCTTTAGTACAAAGTTTTTGCTGTGGCTTTAGATCTATGATTTTCTGTAATTAAATGGAATAATTCATAGCTGCAGTTTCTATGGTCTAATTATGGTGAAATTTTTATGGTGGGATAATTATTGTATGCTTAAACTGTAATAAAAATTTCATACTCATTGGATCATGTATAACTTAGTTATAGATTTTATTTAGGTTTATACTTGTTAAATATAAATAAATCTATAACTAAGCTATACATGATTGAATTGGTATGATTTTTTTACTATAGTTCAATCATACAATAATTAGCCCACCATAAAAATTTTATCACAATTGGACCATAGAAACTACAGCTATGAATTATTCTAATTAATTATATAAAAGCATAGATCTAAAGCCACAACAAAAACTTTGTACTAAAAGCATACCATATTATATGTTCACTATGTAGATCTACTCATGTAGAGTCCAACAAAATTGAATTTTTCATTTTATGATTTTTCTGTGATTTACTATGATTTTTCAAAGATTCAATCGAAATAAATAAAAAATAAAAAGACAAAACCACCTTCAAAATTGTTTATAACAGGGCCAGGGAGTTAAGATGAACGGTTTTAAAAGTTGAGGGAGGTGTTTTGCCTGATTTTAGGAGTTCAGGGAGGAAAACGGACTTTGGCAAAAGTTGAGAGAGATAATGTAGACTTTTTCCGATCATTTGCCATCCAACTCCTCGTCGGGCCTAGTACATCGTGGATACATCGTTGACATTTCTCTTGGGCAAAGACAAGCGTCTTGTAATAGGCATTAGCCAATTGGTCTACCACTACCAGTGGCATAAGCCATGCAAAACCCATAATCAAGTTACTACAGCTAGCACAATTGACTACTCCATCAAATTCAAATTATGTCACTTTACTTTTGTACTGTACTAACTACAAAGTCAAACTTCTCTAATTTTGATTAAATTGTTAGAAACTTATATTAACATGTATAAGTTTAAATAAACGCACTATCATATGGGTGTCCAACAAAAAATACAGCTTCACCAGGACCCCAATTTAGGGTGGGCACCCAGCTCCTCCCCACGGACCCGATTCCTGGGGGCTCAACCCCTCCCGGCCCCCATTCGGCTGTTGCTACGGTTTTTTTGCTCACGCTAGGAAGGAACCAGCGCCCGCGACGTGGCGGCGCCGAACACGCATAGCCACCCCGAGGCATAGGACCCACGACTGCATAGATCTGGCCTTCCCGACGGCTTCTCCGGCAGGGCTCACGTGTGGTGCAGAACCGCCTAGTTCCTCCCTCCCTTCGGTCCCCACCGCTGCTCAGTCCCCTCTCTCCCCTTCGGCAGCGCGGTCTCCTCCGGCGGCCCGGCCATGCGCTCCCTTTCTCCTCCGAATCTACGGCACATCCG